TCTCTCTCTCTCCCCCCCCCCCCCCCCCCCAGCTTTCCTCCTGGACCCAAGAAACCTTCCCAACAAATGTTTGGTCAAAACAGAGATTCTTTCCCCAAAACATTTGTGTTTCAACTAAATCATATTTTTGATAGAAAAAGAGTTGTTAATTTTTTCAACCAGTTCTCTTGATTATACCCTTCCTGAAATCAGCAACCAATTAATCTCCAGTAGTAACTGCTATATATGTCTTACCAAATTCCTATGAGAGCACATGAACCCATGGACCTTGAGCTAGTGTCCAAACTTAGCCGCTTCCATGATTTTAGCTTACCTAGTAATTCAATTACAATAAAATAACATGACCCACAGGCCCTTTCCTACCTTACCTGGTTTTTAGGCTTTCCTTCTGTCCTAGCTCCCTTTTCACTCTAGCAAGACAGACGCTCCCACCCCTTTCCTGTCCTGTTGGGAGCTAACTGTACCCTCTGCCAGCATGACTCAGTGGAGTTTTAGCATTATATCCTAGGGCAGAGGAGGGCAAACTACAGCCCGCGGGACTCTCCTGCCCGGCCCCATAGCTCCTGCCCCAGGAGGCTCGCCCCCAGCCCCTCCCCTGTGGTTCCCCCTCCCCCGCTAGTGCAATGCTCTGGGCGGCGGGGCTGCAAGCTCCTGGGGCAGCGCAGCTGCAGAGCCTGGCCTGACCCGTGCTCTGTGCTGCGCTGTGGCGTGGCTGGCTCCAGCCAGGTGGCATGGCTATAGCGCCGCCAGCCACCGGTGCTCTAGGCAGCGCGGTAAGGGGGCAGGGAGCAGGGCGGGGTTGGATAAAGGGCAGGGGAGTTCGGGGTGGTGGTCAGGGGTGTGGATAGGGGTCGGGGTGGTCAGAGGGCAGGGAACAGGGGGGTTGAATGGGGGACAGGGGGTCCGGGGGGGGGGCAGTCAGGAATGAGAGTGGGGGTTGGATGGGGCAGCAGGGGGGCAGTCAGGGGCAGGGGGTTCTGGGGGTGGTCAGGGGACAGGGAACAGGGGGGTTCGATGGGGCAGGTGTCGGGGGCAAGAAGCAGGAGGGGTCGGATAGGGGGCGGGGCCGGGCCACGCCTGGCTGTTGGGGGAGGCACAACCTCCGCTAACTGATCCACCATACAATTTTGGAAACCTGATGTGGCCCTCAGGCCAAAAAGTTTACCCGCCCCTGTCCTAGGGTAATTTAGTGTACGTCTACATTGCAAAAAAGCCCACAAACAAACAAAAAAACCCAAACGGCAATGAGTCTCCGAGCCTGGATCAACTGACATGGGCTTGTGCTATGAGGCTAAAAATATTAGTGTAGATGTTCCCGCTCAGGCTGGAGTCCAGGTTCTGAAACCCAGTGAGGGGGCTGGCTCTAGCCCAAGCTATTTTTAGCCCTGTAGCTTGGGCCTGAGTCAGCTGATCTGGGCTCTGAGACTCAATACTGCGGTGGATTTTTTGCAATTTAAACATACCCTAGGCAGTAGATTCCATCATTCCTGCACAGGAACAAACTCTGCAACACCCATAAGATGCCCAAAACATTCTCCACCTCCCCACCACCCCAAAATCAATTGTGACATATGAAGCATTTCATTCTTAAAGCAATTTACAGAAAAACAAAAACAAACAGTGCTGCCCTTGAGTTCCACATCATATACTAATTCTTCTGACTGACAAGTAACACAAGCTTCAAAAGAGCTTGCCAAAGGTGCACCACATCAGGGATGAATAACCCCACCAGATACCCAAAAGATACTTGTAAGAGGACAGTAAAAGGAACTACACATCCATTTTTATATTTTCTAATCTTAGGGCTAGAGATTATGTAAAGAAAGCTCGTGTTACTGGGAGGGAGAGTCTTTTTGTACATTCACCAAATATTGTAACCTTCCCTCCCTCACCTTGTAAACTCACAAACCCAAAGAGGAAAGTATGCCTTAATCTGGGCTTCTCTTCTCCGAGTAGCATGGAGACTGTACTCAGCAAACCTGTGGGTGCAATACCTTCAAGAGACCTAAATTTTCCAGGATAATGAGTAAGTTGCTAAGTGAACAGAAATAGACACCAGGCAAATTCTAGTTTAGAAGAGAACAGAGTCACACAAGCATATGTTGTGAACTATTTTGCTTCCTTTATACAATCAAATGCCACTTTGAGATGTGTTTTCTGATAATATCTCCAGGATATGCTGCTTTAATAAGATGTAAGGCTTGAATAGCAATAAAATGCACCTCAATATTTTTGGTTGAGTTTGAAGAATTGCCACATATCCTGAAAACAGCTAGACAGTCCTGGTTTTTGAATATGTTTTGCATCATGATTGCCTCTTTTGCAGGACAGAATATAAAAGATAGCTGTGATAAGACTGGCTGTTCCATTGCATCAGAACTAGTGAAGTATTTGTATCAGTTTCAAGAGTGCAGGTGAGAGAAAACCAAGGGATTTTGTGAGAGGTTTTATGGGATCTTGTAGGAAAGCTCCCACAATAAAATATTTAGCATGGCAATTAAAAAAAAAAAAAAAGAAGGATATGCTCAGATTGTGAATTAGAGCATTTACAGCTATAAAGACTATGGAGTTAGGCAGCCCCCAAACCAGGACCTTTTAAAAAATGTTGTAGTTCCTAGCTGTTGTATACTATATAAAAATAGTGGCTACTTCAAATTCTGTTTTTTTATGTAATACAGTACCCTATATTGGGGATTGAGAACAATTTTGAGTTAAAAACAACAGAACTGGTAAATCCCAAATTGATTTGATATGGCAGAAATGTGAATCAGCCAACTCCTTTTGTGCATACATAGTTATTAAACTTATGGCTAAAGCTTATGTTATGCAGTGATAAAGGACATTGTACATACTTGACATTGTGTAACCTGGATCCACGCAGGCCAGACTTACCTGGAGGAGGGGAAAATTGGGTCATGGCTCACTACCAAGTGCAAATCAATTCACCACTGCCCTTCTTTTTAAAGAGTGGCTAGGAGGAGTATGGGTAAAGGGACAGAAGGGCAGGCAGTTGTGGGTGCAGCAAATGAAGTTTGACAGGAATGTATATCACTTTGTCTTCCCACTTCAACCCAGACTCCCCATCAGGATGTTTAATTTACCTGAGGGTAATTAATTTACAATTGAGAGCTAAACTAACAGTTTATCTTCATTTATTCAGTCCAGAACTATCAACTGAAGACACACCTTGGTAGACTCAGAACATTTCTAATTCTAACGTTAAGAGATGAGCTAAATTTGGGGCCCGAACATTTTGAGTGTCTAGACATCTAATTGTTTTCATCCCATCCCAGTTTGTTAATTTTTAGTTTATTGTGCTGTGAGGACACTATCCAACTCACTACAGTTAGAACCAGCTATGGTAATACATATCGAAGCTGTTACATATTGTTAGAAACCAACATGTTTTAAAATTGAGGATATTACTGTTGGGCATGAGCAGTGATATAAACTGTATGACTACCATGCAGTGTATTAATTACTGTGCTAGTCTCTGCAGGGACTTTCAGAGAGCTATCTGAGGGCCTGGTCCCTCTTCTGTCCTTTCTCCACCTTCCAAAACTATGTTAACTTTTCCCCATGGTTTCACTTCCTCAAAGACAGGGAAACTTTGAGTAAGCGGTTTCCCCAACTGCTCAGTAGTGTCAGAGATATGTGATTAGCACCCTGACGGCTCCATAGTTAGTGCCATAAGTAGACAATCATTATCAAGGCAGGAAATCTACAAAATTTATCTAAGTTGAAGTTGTCCCACATTGGAAAATTTATCCCTCAGAACTGCAGATATTTTTTAAGTGATGGCATTTAAACAAAACTCAGATTTTTACATAGTTCATGCATCAGGAAGGTGTGCATGTGGGAGCCTGGGGAATTCTCTGCATAATATTGTCTCTGTTTGATGAAAATTGGTGAAATATGATGCACATATGAGAGATCAAACAGTCTCTCCCCCCCCCATTAATATGAAGGCATAGATACATAGGATTTGCCATACTGAAAGAAACCAATGATTCAGCTTGTTTGGGATCCTGTCTCTGGCCTATAATGTCTCAGAGGAAGATTTAAAAAGATCCACAAAATGTTTCCCATCCATTGTACAATACTAAGGCAAGTGGGGAGAAAATTTCTTCCTGAATGCAGCTGACAGTTTATGCCCTGAAGCATGAGGACAGAAAGCCTTTGTAAAAATTTTCATAGCAATGTAACTACAAATATTTGGTCTTTCTAAAATGATAGAATATGTGGACCTTTCTGCCACAGCTTACTTATCCAGTATTCAGAAAAACTATTTATTTTTATCTGTTCTAAATTTATATTTAACAGAATGTTTCCTTTTTATTATGGGACAACAGAAACGGGAGTGACTAACTGGCCTCCAGGATGTTATTAGCTTATAATTTTGTCACCGTTTTTTAAAAACACTGTCCTTTATATTCAGTTTATTATTCGTTTTTCCTTATAATTGTCCAATAATTCTCTATCTCCAGAGAACAGAGAGAGCCACTCCTGCAGATAATTTAGCACCTGTAAATATACATGGAATGTAATCACAAAATGAATAACCCAATGGACAAGTCTCTGCTTTGCTTGCTTCTTAATACAAAACAATTAAGTTCAAAACCCTGTTAAACTACAAAATTAAATTTTCTATTAAATTCCATACCCCAACATTAACATGTTTATATAATATCATCACTTTTCTGAAGCAAAAACTGAAATGCTATCTAGTGCAAGCTTGTAACATGTACTGAAGTGTGTAAAAGCGCAGTTCAGATGTATAAAGCTGCAGTATCTAGATAAATAGTCACGTTATTCCTAATTGAGTCTTGTTTACTTTAACCATTTTAAACAGCTAATTTGATTCTAACATGACCATTTTTATGAG